GCATCTCAGGGACCCCCAAACAATGTTAGGGAGGGGATAGCATCACCAAAACAAGAGTACTGACTTGTTGATATTTGAGTCTGAGTCCTTCTAGTCCTATTGCACTACTCTGTCCACTGTGCCACACTAGCACTGCACCCTGCCATTCAGTTCAAAGAACTGTCAAGCTGGCTTGCGACTGTAACAGGAACATGAGCTGCCGCACACCTAGTCAGTGGCCCAGAGGATGGTCTGAAGGCACACAGGGCATCTACCATGTTGAAGCTAAGCTGGTCTGAGGTTGGTCTGAGCTTGGAGGGAGACCACCTGAAAATTGCATGTAGCTCCCTTGGGTTCCACAGTGGAAGAGAGGTTGGACATAAATATAATTCATAAATATTTAGCTTAGTATGATCTATGCTATATGGAGCTGCTCTCAAGGGAGCAAGATGAGCGGCCTTCCTCACAGGGCTGAACTTCTGCAAACAAAATGCTTTGAATACCTGAACTGGGCTGTATTAACTCATACAATCAAGCATTTAAGTCTAACTCTGGACCAGGTAGGCTACCTTCACCCCCACCCGCTCTTGCCTACTGGGATTGGCATTATGACAGTGCCTCGCATAAACAACTCAAGATGACAAAATGTGTTTCTTTTCCAGTGTGTGTGTGTCTCCAGCTCAGTTCCAATTAAAATGTCATGAGAGCACAGTTATCAGCATTTTGAAAAGAGAGGAAGCATATTTATGGAATTCAAGCACTTCCACAACACAGTTTCTAAGTTCACAGACAAGTGCACTATCACTTAGACTAATTCTGAATATTGTGCTTCAGACAGACTTGGCACCGGTGGCAGAACAAAGAATCTAAACCAAAACTACACATGTACCTGTGGTACAGTGTGCTCAGTCTCTTCAATCAAGGAAACTACCAAACCTTTATGAATATCTGCTTCCAAGAAGAGGTATTTGCTAAAGGGTTCACTGGAGAGGACTAATTAAAATGGATTTCAGAACACTTCAAGGTTCTGTGGACCTATGTGCAACCCACACTTTTTTCAGCTGCCGCATTCACTGGAGAAAGGTTATTTAGCGAAGAGAAACAAAATCTGGAGATGCTTAAAAACAGGAGAGGAAATGAGGAGGGAGGGTTGAATCTCTTTCCAAACAAGCCGAGCCAAAGCAGTACACACTCCAGTTCTGAAGTGCTCCCAATAGAAATCTTTAAAATGGGGAAGCTTGGATGTCAACATGGTCACTGGTGCTGAAACTCAGCTAAATAACTGACTTTTGTAGGTGATTTGCAAGCCTCACAGCATTCCTAATTTTGAGCTTGCAATTTCATATTTCCCAATGTTCTCTGTTTGTGGATAAATGGATAGAAATACCTGTGCACTAGTATGACTTGATAGGACATGACAACTCTAGACATTCCCAGCTGATTTGAGCTAAGTTACATTTTCGTATGTCCCTAAGGGCAAACTCAATGACAGAACTCTCTGAAATCCATTCTACTTTAACAGGCAAACAAGTCCACAACATAGGGCTACATTTACACTGTATTTAGATTTCTAATGCATCTATCAGGAAGGCTCAATATTGTGTAAAGACAGATTAGAAATAAATATAAGATATCCAGCAATAAGCCAACTGAAATAGCTGAAGTGTAAGAAATGACACAACCTTCAACTGGACTGAATATTGGCGCCCAAAGCAAGTGTAAATGAAATTGTCTTACAGGGTTTCTGAGAAAACATAAAATGTGCTAATGAAATACACCGACAGAAATGAAATACATTTAGCCGAGGTATCATAGACATGAATGTTGTCATTTGAGTTTGACCAATGAATAGATAAATCTAAAAACACTATATGTGAAATTATTTCTCTATCTCCAGAAGAGTACACAACTCAACCAATTTTCTCTGTGGACCAGCTACTTTTATTCTTTAATTAACTGAAGAGACTCATAGCACATTGACACTATAAAAGATTGGTGTGGAATTTTAACAATGTTCTTCATATGGATTGTATTTTGTCTCACACACACTCGCAAACCACAAACACCCTGGATCACTGCAGATCCAAACAGAAGAAAAGCCATGCCAGATAAGGCAAAAGACTTTTTAGTCTAGCATCTTGTTTACCACAATCAGATATCTATGGGAATGCACAAGCAAGCACTTGGTATTAATCTGCAGGTGTACTAATGGAGGTGACTAGCCATTGCTTACATTATCCTCCAGGAATTTGCTTAATCTTTTCAAAACCATTTGCACTGATGGCCAACACAATTATCTTAAGGAAGCAAATCCCATAGCTTAACTATGTGCCATGTGAAGAAGTTGTTGTTGTTTTTAGTCGCGAAGTCATGTCCGACCCATCGCAACCCCATGGACAACACTCCTCCAGGCCTTCCTGTCCTCCACCATCTCCCGGAGTCCACCTAAGCTCACACCAACTGCCTCAGTGACTTCATCTAGCCACCTCATCCTCTGTCGTCCCCTTCTTCTTTTGCCATCCATTGTTCCCAGCATTAGACTCTTCTCCAGGGAGTCCTTCCTTCTCCTAGGTGGCCAAAGTATTTGAGTTTCATCTTCAGTATCTGGCCTTCTAAAGAGCAGTCAGGGTTGATCTCCTCTAGGACTGACCAGATTGACCAGGGACTCACAAGAGTCTCCTCCAGTAACACAATTCAAAGGCCTCAATCCTTTTGCGCTCAGCCTTCCTTATGGTCCAGCTTTCACAACCATACATTGCAACGGGGAAAACCATAGCCTTGACTATACGCACTTTTGTTGGCAGGGTGATGTCTCTGCTTTTTAGTGTGCTGTCTAGATTTCCCCAGGAGCAAGCGTCTTTTAATTTCTTGGCTGCAGTCCCTGTCTGCGGTGATCTTGGAGCCCAGGAAAATAAAATCTGTCACTACCTCCATTTCTCCCTCATCTATTTGCCAGGAAGTGAGAGGACCGGATGCCATGATCTTAGTTTTCTTAATGTTGAGTTTCAAGCCAACTTTTGCAATCTCCTCCTTCACCCCCATCAAGAGGCTCTTTACTTCCTCTTCACTTTCTGTCCTTAGAGTGGTATCATCTGCATATCTGAGGTTATTGATATTTCTCCCAGAAATCTTAATTCTAACTGGTGATTCATCCAGCCCCAACTTTCTCATGATGTGCTCTGCATATAAGTTAAATAGGCAGGGCGACAGTATACAGTGTTGCCAAACTCCTTTCTCAATTTTGAACCAATCAGTGGTTCTATGTCCAGTTCTCACTGCTGCTTCTTGACCTGCATATAGGTTTCTCAAGAGACAAATAAGATGGTCTGGTACTCCCATCTCTTGAAGAACTTGCCACAATTTGTTGTGATCCACACAATCAAAGGCTTTAGCATAGTCAGTGAAGCAGAAGTAGTACTTGTTCTTATTTGTCTTGAAGGAGAGATGCAGTCCACCCCTCATCCTACCTTGGAGAGTCTTTGGCTTATTTTTCAGTATTCTCAGGTAGTGTCCTTGCTTATATCTGTGTTTTTAAAGAGAAAATGCATGGTGTAACAGTTAACACCAAGGAAGATAGTGACCACCAGCTAGCAGCAGTCTTAGAGTTAAGGCCAGTTATAGATTTAGATAAATGGTTAGGACAGAATTTAGAATTTCATCAAGAAATAAGATTAAAATGGCAAAAAGTTAGTGTGATGGAATTAAATGTTTTTCAGAATTCAATCTCAGGGAAATCATTATATGATATCATCTCAAGCCTTACTGTAGGATAGACTTTGCCCTACAGGCTTACCAGGACTCATGTGAAAATTTGAGACCTTACAAATTACTAATCACAGCCAGGAAATTACATTTCCAGAACAAATTTTGGTCTGAACTTGTGCTGGCAGTGACAGGAACACATTCTGTCCATTTTTGGCATTTAGTTTCTGGTAGGCTCAGAGAAATAAAAATATTTTTTTTGATTCTCTAATATCAGCCACAGCATGGGACATTTTAAAAACTTATTTAAAAGTGATGAATTTGGAAAAAATGGACAATATTTGGCTTTAGACATTAACTGTCTCCTGTCATGGTCACTGGTCTCAGCCTGTGAATTTAAATTGCTTAAACACACATTGAAAAATGCCAAGGCACCAGGGGACTATTTTTTGCCACCTGAACTGTTTAAGCCTAATATAGGTTGATGGGCTTCTCTTTTGGCAGCCTTCTTTACACATATAAATAACACACTTTGTGTCCCAAAAGGCTGACATCTCAGTACAATAGTCCCAATATTTAGGAAAGGAAACAGAAAGGACCCTAAGAACTATAATGCAATCAGTCTGGTTGATATTCTAGCCAAAATATATATTAAGTATCTCTTGAAAAAAGAGGACTGGGCAGAAACAACACACCTTGCTAGGTGCAGAACCGGTAATATTTAAGAAAGGTAGATCTACCATAGACAATTTGCTTCAGCCTACACCATCTAATAAACACCATCTAAAAATGCATACAAAAATGAATAACTTTTTATATGGGATTTTAATGATTGTAAGTTCATGCGATGGGGTGGCATATAAGTTGTCTAAATAAATAAATAAATAAATAAAATAAACTTTTTGCAGCTTCTTTGACCTTAGTGCAGCTTTTGACTCCATAAATAGGAAAAAATGTCAAATTCAAACATAGATCAGAGACTCCTGTACTCAATTTATGTCTTATATTAAAAACCTACTTGAGGGTCTGGACAGGTTTTAATTATGTTCTTTCAGAGCCAATTCCAACCTATAAAGGCATCTGCCAGGAATGTATATTAACATTTACTTTTTAATTTAATTTTATATAAATGATATAGTTGGTTTTTTGAATATCAGATCTCCATTTTTGATTATATGTCCAAAATTTTAAATGGATCTGCTCTACACAGATGATACAGATTTATTCGCAATAACTCAACTTTGTTTAAGAAGGTTACTAAGACAATTTGGTTTTTATTGTGCAGAAAATGATTTGGTCATTAACATACTAAATTCAGAGTCATGGTTTTTGGCAAAAAAAAAAAAAGGTGAATAAATGGTTTGTAAATGCAAAAGAGCTAGAGCAAGTAAATTCTTATTGCTACCTTGGCATAACTTTCTGAGCCACAGGATCTTGGACACTACAAAAAAAGAAAAGTGAGTTAAAAGCAGCTGCTGGTTTACAATCTTTAAACAGATTGCTGAATTTCACTTTTCCTGGAACATCATGCCCAATTCTAAACACATTCAAGGCAAGGGTGGTACCAATGTTAATTTTTGGTGCAGAAATCCGGGGCTTTGCTGATTTGACCAAAATTGCAAGAATCGAAAACTGTTTCCTATGTGTGATCTTCGGAGTTTCAAAAGCTACTCCAACTATATAATTAGAGCAGAACTGGGCATAGAAATGATTTCTGGTTCAATATATGTCAGAATGGTACATTACTGGTGCAGAGCCAATCAGATGTTGGATGTTGTTCTGGATCCAAAAATTTACAAAATTACTTCCAAATTTTTGATTCTCCATACAGGCACTAAATCCAAGGGGAAAGGACACCAGGGAATTTTAAACATAGAATTTTGGATATAGGAGCTTAATTTGATATAACTGCCATCACATCCTCTGGAAGAGGTAAATGGCTAGCAAGAATGAAACATCAACATCGCTATGAAAGATACTTCGCATAACCTATGACAATAGAACAAAAGAGAGTTTTTCCCAGACTACATTTTGAACAGATGGAATGAACAATGATGAAACTGGGGAGATTTCATGGTATTTCAGTTCAAAATAGACTGCGTAACTGTGGATCCCCAGATGTGGAAGATTTGATACATTATATGCTATATTGCCATATATATATTGACATTAGAAAATGTTGTTATTTAGACACCTTCCTAAAGAAAATAAAGTACTGGGAAGAGACAGATTTGTCCCTTGAAACAGAAAATTCAACTTTTCAACATTTTACAAAAAATGTTGCTCCGGAAAAGGTGCCAGATGCAGGGAGAAGTTTGTGGAATATAACACCACAATTCTTCATGGTAGGTGCAGCCCTACCAATACTATCATGAATCTATCTGCCTCTTAGTAATATCAACCTATTTTAAGTGATTTTCATACCACCCACACAATGTATACGTTAATTTTAATCATTTTATGTATTATAGTAGTTTTTAAAATACTGATTGTATATGCTTGTTTTAATTCTGCTATGGTCTATGAACTTGTGCAATAAGTATTATCTCTCTGCTCCCACCAAATGGTGGCAAAGGACCACAAACAACATGAATCTGGAATTAAACTGGGGCAGAATAGATGGGGAGGGGTGTAGAGTTGGATCATCCATACTTGGATGGTGGAACTGTCAATTCTGATATCACCAAGATTGTCAGATTTTTAAAGTCAAGCTCATTCCATCCCATTTCCTGATACTTTTATGATTAAAAATATTTTTAAAACTCTGTAAGGATAATTCTTACATGGCTTTTCAGTTAACTTGGCCTGATCTACAGAGTAATCTTTCTTTTACCATTTGAAACGAAGAAAAAACATAGGTTTGGTCTGGTTTGGTTTAAAGAAAGCTTATGATAAAACCAGCTTTTCTTTTCCATGGAACTTTTCTTATATCTGCTATTAATACATGCTAGGGTTGGGAGCAGAGATTGTACACATTGCTCTGAGACAAGTTCATTCCCATGTAAAACAGGGATTTGGTCCTCCAGACAATCTGGTCCACAGTTCCCATTAGCCCTAACCAGCATTACTGATGAGGAGGGATCAAACCCCTGATCTCAGACATGGATGGACAACCTTTTCTTCTAAGACAGGAAATTCCACATTTTCCCTAGACAGTTTCACTCCAATGAAGAAATGTTCACATATTCAGGAAGAATGGTCCTCTTTCATCTTTCTGACACCCTGTTAAATATTTAAAAACATTTCAATATGCCCCCCTCCCATTTTCTTTTCTAGTCAGGCATACCAAGGTGGTACATTCCTTACATGAAGAGGACGTGGCTTTCTATAGACTAAGCATGCCTAATTCCCTATTCTTTCCTCAGAGGCTTGCCTGCTTAATGTACATGAAGCTCTTCTCCAAAACCTTTTCAGTTTGTTGACATGCAGCTTGAAATGTTATGTTCAAGACTAAGCAAGAATACTGCAAAAGCCTTCTGAGAGCTGAGTAGTTCTAAGAGTTGGAGGTGACATTTTGGGCCAGTAAAGCTGAAGGTGTGTGCAAATTTACTGCTGTAATAGTGTAGTGCTGCAGGCTCTGGATGGTACCATTACAGAGTTTCTCCATAGGGTGCTGCTACTGTAGGGATCCTTGCATGTGCTTATGGCAGTCCCCACAGCTCTGGACCCAAGAAGCATCCAGTACATTGCTGCTACTGTTTCGCAAGGTCAGCAATACCTATGGGCAGATGCTGTCTTGGCTCATCCACCTCTCATGATAGAACCATCTGTTAGAGAGGAGCGGCGAAGGGCACCTTTCTTCCAGCTTAGCCATGTCATGGCTGTGTTAGACTTTCCTCTGGGTAGTGTTTCTGCTTGTATTCCCATTCTAGTCATCTATATATAGTATAGACAGTTTCTTGTTACTCTTAGGGAATATTTTTGCTCCAAGAAAAATGTTTGCAGTTACTGCGAAGAGGAAAAGATGGTCCTAAGCTCCTGACATGAACATGGAAAACCCAATACTGTTGCAATTTTATAAGCAAAACAAACAACCATTAAGTAAGCCATGTGATCCTGGAACAGGAATGCAAGAAAAATGTACTTGGCTCACATTTTAATGCAAGCCAGTCTAGTCTGCACTGTTTGAACCAAAACATGACCCAGAGCAGACGCTGCATTTTTCCAAATTTCACAATGCAGTTTTGATCAATAACCACTTACACAAATGCACATATTGGTGAAAAGAGTGTTCAGACATGTACATTAATGAAAACTTTAAAATGCATTATAGAAAGCAAATTGCTTCTAAGAAGAGTGTAGGTTAGGATATACATATTAGGAGTAATGCGCAGAAGAATGTGTATGAATTTTCATGCAGACTTAAGAAAAATCACAAACTGATGCAGACAGGGGCTGGAATAGACTTAAAATGGGTGAAGAGGAAAACTGAGCAAAACCAAAAGGGCAAAATTCACCCATTTCCTCCTTTGAGTCTCCACATAGTGACTTGGAATTGAAGGAATTGTTGTTGGCAAGCTGTACACCAAGAGGCACAGCTTAGGTCTCTTTTTTGGCCACTCTGACTTGATAGGGTCAATGACTTCGATCCAACTAGATGTGTATCATACAGTTGCATGTAACTTTCCTGTTACAATAAAAACAAAATAAGGCTTCAGAAGCTATGAATCCAGAAGCTAGGAATTAAGGAAAGGGAATGGAGTGGTTCTGGTGCTGGTGCTGAGGAACTGCTATTGTCACTACCATTTCTCCATTCAAACTCACAGACTGCCAAGGCAACTTGTCTCTAAATGAATGCATGAATAATGAAGGAATGAATGAAGGAATGAATGGGGAAAAGACACACACGACCCAATGTCTTCCTTGCTGGTCATACCAAATGAAAGCCACTGCATCCTAACTTTTGTTCGCAGCGCTTAGGTTTGACATTTGACAGCATACAATATGTTTTTAACCAGTCCAAGAATGTGTGTTGTTTATTTTTATATTGTTTTTGTATTCAATATTATGTTTTATATATATTATCTTTAAGGTTTAAATCTTTTGTAAACTGTTCAGAGCACTTTGCTCATTGAACTATATAGAAATTTATTGAATGTTTGCATGACTGATTTGGGTCTTCAGTTCTATGTAAAAGGACTGTTATACTACCAGTGGACATAAATCAGGCATGTCTGTTAAAAGTTGTCTTCTCAAGTCTCTTAAGGCAAAATTAATGATCACATTTCTGTCTACAGCTAAGTTGGTCCATTTTTTATCACTCCATCCATCAGATGTAGAAGCCTTCAGAACAGAAAACTTCAAATGAATCAAAGGGTTTGTGTGTTTGTGTGTTTATGTATTTATTTAGTGCCCAATAATAGAGGCTTTTTAAAAGAGCTTTCCATCTAAGAGCTTTCCACAAGCTTTCAGCAAGCTGGATAGAACTCATTGGTTTCTTCCTAGCAGCTATTCACTTCACTGAAAAAATTCAGGATGGGTTAGCAGAGAAGCTCTCCCAAGATGCTGTGCTCCAGATGTGTTGGACTTCAACTCCCAGCATGAGTTGGAACTTCAGCTCCCAGGGATATGCTAGGAATTGCAGTCCAACACATCCAGCAGGCACCAGGTTAGGAAATGCTGGGTTAACATTTCTGAAGATGTCTCATGGTTACTTTGGTGAACTATAGAATAATCTACCTAGCTGGCATTGTGTGTTTCCAGAGATATCTTTTAGAAGAAAAATCAATGTACAAAATCAAGCATAATGACTGACAGAAATAACAAGGTACAAAAATCACATTCCAGTGGGAGAGGTCCATGATAATCTGAGGCACAGTCCATTTTATTCTGCAGATTTGGCTCCTAGTGAATTTGCAAGCCATTTAGCTACGCTTCAGAACAAGTTAAAGTTCCCTGCCGAAACTATATTCCTCTGGAAAAGCTAGCAGCAATCACCACCAACAAAACTGTCAGATGAGTTCTCATTTTGGAATACTTATTACTGGTCCTTGATGGGCAAGAAGCAGAAAGAATACATTCTGATTTCTAGTCTCAGCTGGAGGTTTGCTGTTAGCTGCTATATAAAGATAGATCTTTGCCATTTAAATGAGCACATTTTATATAAAGGTTATTGAGGGAGTCAGTGAAGAATTCTACAAGGTCCTTTGACATGGCAACTTTTCTTATTTTATCAGTAGCTGAATCTGGAAAGTGAGCTTACATCTTTGTAAAACTGGCTTATTTCATAGAACTGGGAATCAAAGCTTGAAAAACAGAACTATATACTTAAGGGGAACATCTGTCCGGAATGCTGCACCCCTGATACTGCAGCCACTGAAGTATTTCAAAGGGATGGCAGAATTAGCAACTGGCAAGAGATAAGAAAAACTTGACGTGTATTTCACGTTTTCCTAGAACTTGGCAGAAAAGTTCCTATAGATTCCATTGTGCCTGGTTTGCACCCTTAATTAACTGCCATACTTCAGTATTCACTGAAGCACATTCCCTGGCAGTACACAGCATGTCTGTCTGTATTTGTTTGTTAAGACTCATGACTAAGTGCATTTCTTGTAGCTGATAGGGAATGATGTAGACAGTCATAGGTTATAAAAAGTAAAAGGAAATTTGAATGATCAAGCATTTCTTTGAGTAAGTGTGATTGCTGCACCCTTTATCCGACTGGGACAGACCAGAATTCAGTGACAGAACACACGTTTCCACAGATGTGGCCCCTGGTGAAGTTCCAGACCTGTTAGCCTTATGTCCATTGTAGGAAAAACAATGAAAAGGCTCATAATAGAGAGAGATCTAGCAATGCTAGAAAGGGAAGGGAGGCTGACAGCCACACAACACGGCTTCTGCAAAAACAGGTCCTGCCAGACAAACCTTGTGGAATTCTATGACAAGGTTTCGAGATGGCTAGATGGAGGGGATGCAGTGGATGTGGTTTACCTGGATTTCAGCAAGGCCTTTGACAAAGTGCCCCATGATATCCTGGTGGACAAACTGAGGAGTTTTGGGATACACCAAAGCACTGTCCGGTGGATTAGGGCATGGTTGACTGACCGAAAGCAGAGGGTAACCATTACTGGAGAATCATCAGGATGGCAGCCAGTGACAAGCAGGGTCCCCCAGGGCTCTGTCCTGGGGCCTATCCTTTTTAATCCTTTCATAAATGACATGGAAGAAGGGGTGAACAGTCTGCTGATCAAATTTGCAGATGATACTAAAACTGGAGCAGTGGCCACAACTGAGGAGCAGGTACTCCAAATTCCAAAGGATCTGGACAGACTATGGAAGTGGGCAGGAGACAACAGGATGGCGTTCAATGTGGATAAGTGCAAGGTCTTGCACTTGGGGCATAGGAATAGGTGTCATAAGTACAGGTTAGGTGACAAGTGGCTGGAGACCAGCACTTGTGAAAGGGACCTTGGGGTGCTGGTTGACTGTAGGCTAAATATGAGTCAGCAGTGTGATGCGGTGGTCAAGAGGATGAATGCCACCCTTGGTTGCATAGCCAGAAATGTGGCTTCTAGATCGAGAGAGGTATTACTACCACTCTATACGACTCTGGTGCGCCCACAACTGGAGTATTGTGTTCAGTTTTGGGCCACTCATTACAGTAAGGATATAGCCAGGTTAGAGTCAATGCAGCGTAGGGCCACAAGGTTGGTGGCCGGGGATGGGGTATGAGGCAAGACTGAGGGAACTGGGTCTCTTCAGCCTCTGGTGACATACAGGTATGTGAGGGGATGTCACATGGAGATGGGCAGAGATCTGTTCTCCCCTGCAGAGGAAGGCAGGATGTGCTCCAACGGAGCAAAGCTCAGGGATCCAAGGTTCCATTCAGATGCCAGAAAGCACTTCCTGACAGTTAGGACCCCGAGGGTGTGGAATGGGCTTCCACGAGAGGACGTTGAGGCCCTCACCCATTGGTGAGGGTGTTCAAGGATAGGCTGGACATGCACATGGTGGGCATGTCATGAGTGCAGCCGGCTGGAGCCGGGGGTCAATCTAGATGGCCCGGGTGGCCCCTTCTGACTTGCTCTGTTTCTATGTTTCTATGTTTCCCAGCATCCTCAGACAGAAGGATTGGGGAGCCGTGGATGGGCAACACATAACTCTGACTGAGACTTGGGGAGAGTAATCCTATGGTCCCTAAAAGCCTTCTAAAGAGCTATAAGATACTTTAGATTCCCAGATGTGAAGCTCAGATGGAGGTTCAACTTCCAGAGCAGGGACCTGCACTCCTACACCCTTCCATTCTTTCAGCTAGCATGGAAAGGGCTGTGCAGGTTGCCTCTTTTCGATCAGGAAAGCAACCTCAGAGATAATGAAAGGTGAATTTGAGACAATGGGGAAAAGAACAGGAGCATGATACAAGCGATCAGCCTCTGTCCCTTCTGCTCCTCAGCTAGGTGGATGAAATTGGCCATTTAGCTGAAATGAAGAATGGGAAGTGAGAAGAGGTGGAGATTGCCTCTACCGAGTCTCCTGTTCTACACTAGATGCTTGGAAGCCTCTGAGTTCAGAGCTTGCCAAAGTTGATGATCCTGATTTTGTTGCAGAATTAAGATGGGAGATCTTTGCTGCTGTTAAGTGCCATCAAGTTGTCTCTGATTGATGGTGGCCCTCTAAATGTATGGCCTTCAAAATGCCCTGGCCTTCATAGTCATGCTAAGCTTTCGTAAATTCAAGGCTGTGGAACTGATTTATCTCAGATGTCTTTTTCATTTTCCTCTGCCTTCAACTCTCCATAGCATTATTGTCATCTCCAGTGATTCTTGCATTCTTATGGTGTGTCAAAGTGCTACAGGTCCAGTTTTATCAGTTTTGCTTTCAGGAAAAGTTTTGGCTTGATTTGATCTAGGACCCATTTGTTCGTCTTTCTTTTAATCCAAATATTCATAAAGCTCTCCTCCAGCACCATGTTTCAAATGCATCAGGGTTTTTTGCCTGTCAGTTTCTTTGCCCAGGTTTAACACTCATACATAGTGACTGGGAATACAGTAGTGTGAATAATCTTGGCCTTAGTCTCCAGTGCAACTTCTTTACACTTGATGTTCTTTTCTAGTTACTTCACTGCTGCCCTTACAAACCTCAGTCTTTTTCTAATTCCTTGGCTGCAGTCAATTTGAATTGATGACTGAGCCAAGGTGTAGATAGTCTTTCACAATTTCAATTTGTTCATTGTTGAAAATAAAGTTCTGTGATTCTGTTTTCATGATTTATGTTAACCTTCAGCTGCAGTCCTGCTTTTGCACTTTCTTTTTTCACTTTCAACAGATGCTATTTCAATTCATTGCTCTTTCTGCCAAGAACATAATATAATCTGTATATCTTAAATGTTTGTGAGCTGAGGTACCACTGTATATCAAACACCTCAGTTCACAACCAAATCCGGTCACAAACAAAAAATTCATTAAAAAAGTGACTCAGGTCACAAACTCCGCATTGGGTGGCGACTGTGATTGCGGCCATCTCCCCCCACCCCCCCGCCAGCATGATTGTGCCCATTGCCCCTGAGTATGCCCGCAATCACACCCATCTCTCCCCCCACACAGTGCGCCGGGATGACGGGCGCATGCAGAGATGACAGGTGTAATCACGGTCGTGCTGTGGTGGGGGGAGATGGCCACACTCATGTTCAGGATGGGGAGGGGGGGATGGATGCAATCTTTGTTGTTCTTTGTCACTTTGCTTCACATTTTTCTGATTTAAAAAAAATATTACAGAATGGATTAGCTTTATTTACATTGAACCTTATGCGGAAATTTAACTTGGCTCATGACCAATTTGGGTCACGACCAGAGTTCTGGACTGGAGTAAGTTCATGAGCCAAGGTACCACTGTATCTTCCACCAACTTTCACTCCTTTCTCTAATCCCAATTCTGTTTTCCTTGTGAAATATTCTGTGTACAAACTGAACAAATAGGGAGATAAAATATACCCTTGTCTGATGGCTTTGCCTATAGGAAACCATGGCATTTTTCATGTTCGGCCCTAACAGTAGCTTCTTGTCCAAGATGCAGCTATCATATCGGGATGACCCAGTGCAAAAGGATACCCATTTCTTTTAGAACCATCCATAGTTTCTCATGGTCTACATAGTCAAAGTCTTTGCTGAAGTCAATAAAGTATAGACTGATCTTCTGAAATTCTTTGGAGTGCTCCAGTAACTAGCATATATTTGTAACATGACCTTGAATGCCTTTTCCTTTTTGGATTCCAGTCTGGACATCAGGCATTTCTTGTTCCATGTAGGATTAAATTCTTTGTTTCAACACCCTGAATGTCACTTCCTTGCAGCAGAAATTAGCCTAATGAAGCCATGGTGACTGCATGCTTTTGCATCTTTGAACATTTCCAGTCTGTGGGCCATTTTTTTCTTTTTCCATATTTGTAAGCATACTCTTATTAGGATTTGGACCAATTAAGTCTCTGCAGCTTAGAATAGTTTTATAGCCACTGTATCTACTCTGGCCTCTTTGCTACTGCCAAGCCCTTTCAGAGGCGCTTGCACTTCACTTTCTAATATTGCAGGTTCTTCCTCATAGAATTCCTCTTTGAAGGAGGCTATCCTTTTCCTATCTCTTCTGTATAGTTCTTAAGCATATTGTTACTACATCCTCTTTATTTTTTCCTTGTCAGACAGTATGCTTCTCCATTGTACTTTAGTATTTGAATTTCCCTTTGCTTTCTAGGATCTTCTGGAAAAGGTCTCTTGTTTTTCCTTGTTTTTGTTGGCTTCTATTACTTTGAAGTAGCCATTGTAACTGTTCTTTTTATCTCTATGTGGTAGTTACTGAAAAGTTACATTCAGGATTCTGTTTCTATTTCAGTCACCTTCCGCTTTTGCTGCTTGCTTGTGAGTGCTTCTTCTGCCACTCATTTAGTCTTTTTCTTTGTTTTTGCTCCAGGAATCGTCATCAGGAATTAATACATTTGATCCAAACCAGCAAACTACATCAAGTCATTTTCCTTTATTGCCTTTCTGTAATTTCTGTTCACAACCCCTAGGAGGCATTGTGATATAGCAGAATAACACAATCAACACTTGGATCTGTGTTTTGTTTAGTGATGCCATGAACTACCAGATGCATTTAAGTGAGAACTGGAAAATACAGAAGAAAAATATCATACAGAAGAGTTCATAAACTATATAGCATCTTGATAGTAAATGCAAGTCAAGGAAGAAATTGGAAGTATCCTATAAAGCTGCTGAACCTCCATTTATTATGTTGCACTGCTGGTGGGCTTCTAGCCAGGGATGGTTTTGAGTCCCCTGAATTTTCTCTGACTCCTACATTACAAATAAGAAAAATACCTTTTGCAACTTTGTCTTTAAAGGCTTGCAATCCAGATGAATGATCCTGTACTGTTTTGGCAGTCCTTTGTTCGGAACGTTTAGGGTGATCCTTTTAGGTTTGTCCTCCACTGACCTGCCTCATTCTGGAAACCGAATGAGTGTTGCCGATTGTTTCCAGGAATCAGTATTTCCTGCTGCACTACAATCCAAGATCTTATCTATCAGAGTTTTGAGAAAAAATTGCTTTAGGAAAAAGCAGGTGTCACATTAACTGTGAGAACAAATTCAATGCTGCAGTAAATGTTGGGTCCATTTATGCTTTCTTAAGAACAGGCTTGCCGAAAACCTCAGTAAGGTCTAGATAACTGAAGAACACAAACATCCACAGTTGTTTTTGCATGCCAAGTGCAATTTTAAAAAATAATGACATACTGCCATTTCTAAGAGCTTCAGATAACATGAATATTGCCTTATCCATTAAATTATATAAAAGTAACTTTTTCCTTATCTATTGGGGAGTTTAATTCCAAAATTCTTACAAATCAGTTCCTTATATATGCTGTCATTTTGAAGAAATTGTCATTTGTCATAAATGCTTTGAAGAATTCTCCCGTTGGGTTTGCAGACAGCCACATCTTTATATTATATTTGGCTGGGATCCAAGAACTTATTTCTGAATATTTGAGACAGCTTTTGCACTTGTCAACTGCATGACACTTTGAACTGCATGTGTGCTGCTAAAACATTTTATGAAAAACCTGACTCACTTATACCAAATCAAAGCCATTACATCCTAGCTTTCTTTGCAATGCTTATGTTTTGCATAAGCAAGACACTGCAGAAGTGCAAACTATACACTGTAGAAAGCAGCAATCTTTTGTCATCTTTTTTTAGTTCTAGAGCTTCGAATTAAACATGAAGTGTGATATCATGGCCTTCATCATCTTGCAAATTCCTCTATCTCAGCCCATGTCAATGGCTGTTTCCACCAGGAGCAGGAAACTCTGTACTTAAAGCTGTCATGCAAAACACATTTCTTAGTATTAGACATTGCGGCATGTAGGCTTGTGTGGAACAGAACTCTGCAAACTAGATGTTTCCATGGGTTGAAAAAGGAAGGGCAAATTTCACCAATACCCTCTTCCCTCCTACAGCCCCATATATTCTCCAAAGTCTTCTTTGGGGATCTGTGTGGGAAAAGAAATTAGACTCACTGCCCCATCCCTTTTCCTGCACCTGTGAGGCTCTGCTGGATCCCAGTTCCCCCAGGCAATGGAAGGAGCCCTTCAGTATGTGGACCAATATTTCTGGATACAGAGCTATGAGAAAAAGACAGGAAGGAAGCACGAAACTGCTGTTTTTGGAAGTAGTGGGGCAATCTCCATTTGAGCCTAAGAGTTTGCTTTCTTCCCTCATGTTTAAAACATCCTGTGGGGTGATGGAATGGTTTCATGCAGTGCTATATGCTGCTTTTTGAAATGAAGTGAGTGGATGCATTTAGAATTTCTAGGATGCATCAGAGGTGTCCATGTTTTGAGAGCAAGCCATTTCATCTATACATAGAGCTATCAATCCTTTCCAATCTTCTTTTCATATAATAAAGAAGCACAGGCATTATTTTCACTGTGTTGGAGGTAAATTTCTGGTGCTGAAAATAGACAGAAGAAATACCTCTCAGGCAAGGGTCACCCTTTCCCACAGAGTGTGAAGTCAAAGTTGTCCAATGACAAAGAAAATCAGCCAAAATGCTCCAACAGAGAGGTAGGTATTTGCAGCCTCTTTCTTTCCTATTTTTCTTAAGGTAGCCTGCAGCTGCAACCAGATCCATTCCTCTGTGTACTGACTCTACCCAGTGTCAGAGTAAACTGGAGCATATTTACATTGCAGAAGACAAAATAAAACTGCAGTGCTTGCATAGCTAGCATCCAAATCATGTTCAATTAAGAAGCAACACTTGCAGAAGAATAATGCAGAGTTAGGAAACCTCTCTGTCTCCCAGACCAGTAGTTCTAACATGCAAAGTTGACCTTTTTCCTCAAGATAATGTTATAAATGTGTTAGCTTTCTGCTTATGATTTTGTGAACTGAGTATAGCACAAAATATTGACTGTTTGATTTGTTCAGATAGTTTAATAAATTAGCATGAGCTCTCATGGGTAACAGCCCACTTCATCAGATGCTGTAAGTGGAACTGAAAGCTTTGAGTCTGAAAAGACAGTTAAACAGCAAATCTGCAGCAGACATTCCATTCTTTTAAAGTAAGAGTTGCAAATCACATTGTGCAATATGGGTATGTTTAGAACACAAAATTTTCCACAACTTCCAGTGTTTCCTAGTTCTCTATGCTGGCTGAAGAATGCTTGGAACTGAATCTTAATTCAGGATTAACACAGCTGAAAATTCAGGAACTGGAAAGCAGACTTTTAAGAGCTAACTGCTCAAAGACTGGAGCTTGGATGGATGAATCCGTCCAGCTTGGTTTCTCTTAAAATTAATTTTGTTTGAAATCTCAAATGCTTTCCATCCCAATTCTAAAGGAATTTGTGGATAGTGGTAAATTCACATCAAAACCAAACCAAAACAAAATGGTCATTTTCAGCAACAGTCCCTTTTAGAACAAGGGTGTATCAGAAACTTTGGGGAACCTCAGGACCTTTTGTTTCCATCCACAACATTTTCACCTGAAGTTGTAAGTGGGAAAGAAATACCCATCCCTGTTTTACTGAATATGTTGCTTCCTAAAGGATTGTCCTGGATCTCCAGAGCCCTGCAGATACAGATTTTTAATGAAATTGAAATAAAGGAGCAGATTCAGTTGGCAACCCATATGTAGATCATTTCTTTTATCTTGCAATTCCAAAAAATTATTATAATGTCTCTTGGTCCTTCTTTGCTCTGGGAGAAGGGTGTAGTTGATCTGTGAGTCCATTCAGCATCCATATAGGTCAGATATAACCTGGGGCTCAATTCACTATCCAATCCACTCAGTCATATTTCTATCCACTGCCTCCTCTCAATGCTTTTCAAGTGCAGATTCAATCAGTGCAAACTTGTTTCTCAAATCATTTTCTCTTCTGTCAATGCTAAGTAATAGCCAGTTTAAAAGCTATATCTACCATTGCTGCTACATCATTTAGTTTGGTAGGTTCTTTGTCTAAATGCTCTTTGAGTGAGGATGAATCAACCACCTACTCCATTTCATCTCTTTCTGAAAAGGATTTAACTTCTTCAGAACAGCAGCCTGCATTCCCTTAGCCAGGGAGTTCATGCTGTCTTTCTGACCTCTCTGTGAGTTCAGCTCCTATGTCAGCATCTAGGCACATACTGACATTCTGTTCTAGCACACCAACATTCAGCTTTACCTTTCTGGTTTGAGGAAAAAAAAGTTGCTCTTTGTTTTCTGTTGAAGCAAGGCATTGATATTTTAAACACAGGACAGAAAGCAGAGCATAGGAATGAAGGCAGAAGTATATGGAAACGCTTCTCTTGCTACTATCTCTGTGCCAAGTAAGCTTACAGACAGAAACTCAGGAAAACAGTTATATAGAAAGCAGCCCTCCAGAGAGTACTTTGCTGTGGGCATCCTCTAATCTAGAACATTTGGTGTGTGCTTTTGAACATTTATTGCACTCCATTGGTGAGTGTTTCCTTCTGCCTCTGATACAGTTGGTGATAGAAGCAATTCTTTACTCTGGCCTTTTTTAGGAAACTGAAAAAGTGCATACTTAATTTTAAAGATGCTTTAAAGATCTATTCTAGGTGGTGCTGCACACATGTAAATACATTAATATACAGAGCTGCTTTCCAGCGTATCAAGTTAAGTGCTGTGTAGAGGTGTTCTTTCAGTCTTTCAGATGTAACATTCAAGGCTTATAAAGAGTTTCAGCTAAGGGTGTCAAAAACTCCAGCCCCAGCTTCCCCAGGGCTCCAGTTTGCACTGAACATGGGTTCATTGCTGAGAACATCAGGCAGCCACCAGCTGATAAGACCGGGAAAGAATTTTAGCAGGCTATAGGCTGACCGGTCTGCCTCACAGAGTTTTTACCTTTCCCACTGCAATCCAAATTAGTTAGATCGCCAGGAAGAATTGTCACAAGTTTCTAGGAGGAGAGGGTTAGGCTCACCTAAAGAGCTTCCTGAACTTGCAGGAATCAGCTTCAAAGGATTCACTTCAAAGGATGGTGCAGCCTCATGTGCTCAAAGTCTCAAGAACTACATCTCTCAACTTTGAAGTAAATGAGTATGCTCCCTTCTGCTGAATCTCCATATCTATACCCGAGTGCATGGCTGGCTTTTTGGGTTGGGGCGGCTTTATTAAAGGTAAATGAATTTGTGACAAGGTATGTGGACACCACGTCCAAATAAAGAAAAATGGAGCTTAGATATAGCACGTATAAAACAATTGGCATTTAATGCATAACTAACTGTGTAGTAACCTCTTAGTAGCATAATTAAGGTCTTCTTTTGTACAAGGAAGGTGTAATTTTGAGGCACCAAAAAGCAGTTACCTTCTCTCTTTTGTAGAGTGAAAAGCATTTGTACTTACTATGTGAGAATGATTGCCACAGCATCATTAAGGACACTTTCACCAAACAAGAGTGTGTAGAGATCTGTATCAACATGAAGCTCATGGAAAATAGCAAGTACAGTCACTGCAAGCAACAAGAAAGAAACGGGTCTTACTCTGTCATGATTAAATAATACAATAAACCATTGTTGCTATTTCTTATTATTACACAAATACTTAGTAATAATAACAGTTCTTGTTATAAAAATAATTGCTTTCTTGAATAATATTAAGGCACACTCAATGATACAAAATAGTTGTCTTCACTTCAGAAACAGTATTACCTCAAGTTTCAGATGTTTAAGTAAATAGGAAAATGTCCATCCAGTTTGGGTCACAGGAGATGGCATTTTTATATAATGAATAAGTCTGACACAATATTGTTGTTTAACCTACTTCATCAGTCTGCCTGTGTTGTGGTTTTTGTTATCGTTATCACCATCACCATTAGCCCAGAGAGCTTTGGCTATTGATCAGTACAGAATTAACAACAATGCTAAATAAACAAACAGTAGCATTATTGTTGCTCATGTTTTGAAACTGTATTCTAGTTTAGGATTGGGCAGGATTGTTGCTTGCTGCCCTGAATCACATAAGAATACCAAATAGGCAGAATATAATTTTAAATTACTGTTAATAATACAAAAGGGAAGCAGCAAGTCATGACACTCTCTTGCTCCCAACAGACTTCTCACCACCATGAAGGGAGAAGTTAGGGGACTATGTTCACTAAGAAATTCTTCTCCACGAGTTTGACCAAATTCCATGAAATTTGAGCAAGAGGCATACCCAGGTCTAGTGCAGGCTGTTTTGTGGCGTCTGGTATAGTCAGCTGCTCTGCCCCAGTGCCTCCATCCACTGCTATTTCGTGCAGATGCCACACAGAAGCTCCCGCACCTGTAGAGATCTGAGGAGGCCTTGCCGAAGTCTCATAAGAGTTCATCAAGCTGCGGCCAAGTCTTGCTTGCCATGTCCTGAAGCTTGGCCAGGCATGACGTGGAGGAGGTCTGTATAAGGCCTTTCAATGCATAGCCTAGCCTTAGTCTCCCTGATTCAGTACCTCAGCTATTGGCAGGCATGATGCCTGGCCAGGGAGCTACAACGTTCAGTTTCTCTTTCATCTGAAGTGCAGAGGAGGTGACCCAGCAGAGGGTTGCTTGGAGACCTTGCTAGAAGTGGGTGTCTTGGTGCTGCAGCAGTGCTCCCCGGGCTGGTGAGGTGCTAGCCAGAGTGCAGATTGTGTGGCTAGGTGCACAGCTGCTGCAGGTAGGACCCCAGAAGGGGAGACTGGCAACCCATTGGGTGTGCCATTGTTTTGCATCACCCCTCTCAATTACTGGCCCAAGATGTGAGTCTCAGTGAAAGGGCTGGGCCCACTTCTGAATCCCTTCTATGAGCATCTCCACTATCAGAGGTGCCTTGAGTAGCCAACATCTTCTTGAATTCTCTCAGTGGTGTGGGATCCTATTGTGAGATCATTCATCCAGGGACGCCTGCCTGCCCAGCTACTTTTCCATATTTATTCATTTACAGTATTTTATTTTATAAAGCTGTGGGGAAGAAGAGCTCTTTTTGCATGTTTTTTACCCTGCCAGATTCCAAACTACTTTAGCTTTATTGTGTGGAACACTTTTTATATCTTTCTTGGCTTGACTTTATTGCTGTTTAGTTAATTGTTACTTATAAAGTTGTATTTTATTGTTCTAGGAAAATTAGAAAATATTGTTAACTGCTTTGAGAGCTTCATATAGGAACCAGGCTATATATTTAATCAAATAAAATGAATGAGAATACATACATACACATATATATATCTTTTGCAGAGCTCCCTACCCTTCAGTGAAGGTTGGGTATGAAAACATAATAGTACATTTTGTCCCGGCTCAGTGCTGGAACTCAGATCCTAGCCACACTTAGTCAAACAAATGTATAATTTTCCTTGTAGCATTTCCCTTCATTACGCTCAGGGATTCCTGAAAGTACGTTAAAGAGAAGGACTACATCTCCTCATTAGACATCCTAGATTTGTATCTTTCACTTATTCCTGGCCAATGTTCAGGTAACCACCTCTTCCTTTTTGTACACTTATTTCATATGTGGCATCTACTTGAAGGGAATGGAAAGGCCACAGAAACTGTGGAAAATTTGCACTTCCTGTATCCTGTCCACATCACACTCCACTTCTGTCAGCACGGCTAATATCAAGTTGTGATATCTGTATTGCTCTTGGGCCAAACCACACAATATATTAAATGCATCTTCACCTATAACATGCAGATTTGGGGTGGTGGATAATCACAACAGGATTGGAAGGGAAATTTTACCTTCTCCTCTTCAGCTGTAGTTCTCAAAATCATAACATTATACCATTATAATTATCCTGTAGATCAATTGGTACCATGGAAAGCTGGCTTGTCTATTAGCTTGGCTTCTATAATTTTGTTCATTCATCTCAATTGTAAGCCATCCTGAGATCTTGTATAATAGGACAGTGTCCAAAAGCTTTTAATAAATAAATAAATTCACATAGGATACAATCATATAACCACCGAAAGCTAACCCCGCAAATAGTCCCCTTACTTTAGTTTGCCAGCTGCTTCACTAGAGGAAACCAGAGCAGAGAAAAGCAAAAAAGATGTGCTGGAAGGAGGGTGGAGAGGAGGCTGGGGTGGAGGTCCTACCCCGATTCCTACTGGTGTCCTAGCCTTCTTGGCTCCCACTCCCCAGCACTTTTTCTGGATGGCCAGAAATGTGAAGCATGGCAGTGGATATTGCCACCAGCACACCTCTCATTAAGGACATCATTTCATTCTGCCATTACTTTAAGGAAGGCCTGCTGTTACTTAGTTCTTGCAGTGATCTAAAAAAGGGTATCTAATACATAATAAAGTTTTCTAATGATGTATAAGACTGGAAAATTATGCACTCTCTCTTTGTATTTGCATCACCAGTGCTCACTCTGGTACATAATTGTGCAATTGACCATATCTCCATAGCAAACAAATCCCAAGGTTTAAGATAATCTCCAGGGTGCCAGGTTAACATCTGACATTTCAGCATGGAAAACTGCCTTTGCTGGTACCAAAAATATTGTCATTGGCTTACACTGCTCATCATTTTGCATGGGTGATTCTTTCCTGAGCTGAGGGAATTTTAGGAATGCCTTATTTAGCTCAGAGGCCTAATGTTGGTGCTTAAGATTTACATTATTCCTCAATATTATAAATGAGCTTATAAGGTCATGAGGTAACATTCTTTGTAACTTGGGGGATTTAGTTTTTGCAATGCATGATATGCCAAAGAAGACAAATTATTTTAGAAATGCATGTAGCTGTCTACTCCCTTGCCCTTTTGATCAGGAACATCATGTGTCTCAAACCCCCTTTGAGATAAACCCACTGAGAATGAGTGCAAGTTTATATTTTATTATTATATTAATTACATTTATGTTTGCCTAATAACAAAATCCCCCTCATGGGTCACTGCCTTGTCGTGGCGAAGGGGCTTGTGTAGCTCAATGAAGCTATGAGCCATGCCGTGCAGGACCACCCCAGACGGACAGGTCATAGCAGAGAGCTCTGACAAAACGTGATCCACTGGAGAAGGAAATGGCAGCCCACTCCAGTATCTTTGCCATGAAAACCCCATGGACAGTACCAAAAGGCAAAAAGATATGACGCCGGAAGATGAGCCCCTCAGGTAGGAAGGTGTCCAATATGCTACTGGGGAAGAATGGAGGGTTAGTACTAGTAGCGCCAGAAAGAATGAAGTGACTGGGTCAAAGCCGAAAGGACATTCAGTTGCAGATGTATCTGGTGGTGAAAGGAGAGTCTGATGCTGCAAAGATCTATACTCCATAGGTACCTGGAATGTGAGATCTATGAATCAAGGCAAGCTGGACGTGGTCAAACAAGAGATGACAAGACTGAACATCGACATCTTAGGAATCAGTGAACTAAAATGGACAGGAATGGGTGAATTTAATTCAGATGACCATCAGGTATACTACTGCGGGTAAGAATCACTCAGAAGAAATGGAGTAGCCTTCATAGTCAATAAAAGAGTAGGAAAAGCAGTACTGGGATGCAATCTCCAGAATGACAGAATGATCTCAGTTTGAATCCAAGGCAAACCATTCAACATCACAGTAGTCCAAATCTATGCCCCAACCACTGGTGCTGAAGAGGCTGAAGTTGACCAGTTCTGTGAAGGCCTACACCACCTTCTAGAATTAACACCCAAAAATGATGTCCTTATCATCATGGGGGATTGGAATGCTAAAGTAGGAAGCCAAAAGATAACTGGAATAACAGGCATGTTTGGCCTTGGAGTACAAAATGAAGCAGGGCACAGGCTGGTACAATTTTGTCAAGAGAATGTGATGGTCATTGCAAGCACTCTTTTCCAACAATCCAAGAGATAACTCTACACATGGACATCACCAGATGGTCAACACAGAAATTAGATTGACTATGTGCTCTGCAGCCAAAGATGGAGAAGCTCTATACAGTCAGTAAAAACTAGACCAGGAGCTGACTGTGGCTCAGATCATGAGCTTCTCGTTGCAAAATTTAGACTGAAATTGAAGAAAGTAGGGAAAAGCACCAGGCCACTCAGGTATGACCTAAATCATATTCCTAATGAATATACAGTAGAGGTGACAAATAGATTTAAGGAATCAGATCTGATAAGACAGAGTGTCTGAAGAACTGTGGACAGGGGTTCGCAACATTGTACAAGAGGTAGCAACTAAAACCATCCCAAAGAAAAAGAAATGCAAGAAAGCAAAATGGCTGTCTGAGAAAGCTTTTCAAATAGTTGAGGAAAGGAGGGAAGCGAAAGGCAAGGGAGAAAGAGAAAGATATATCCAATTGAATGCAGAATTCCAGAGAATAGCTAGAAGAGATAAGAATGCCTTATTCAATGAACAGTGCAAAGAAATAGAAGAAAAACAATAGAATAGGGAGGACCAGCGATCTCTTCAAGAAAATTGGAGACATGAAGGGAAAGTTTCATGCAAAAATGGGCATAAGGGACCAAAATGGCAGGGACCTAACAGAGGCAGAAGAGATTAAGAAGAGATGG